AAAAAAAGAAAAGGTATAATAATGGAAAGTAAAAGAAATATTTTAGTATTTAGTATAAGTAGATCTGGGGCTGGCACTGTGGTGTAGCAGGTAAAGTCACTGTCTACCATGCTGGCATCCCATATGTGTACCAGTTCATGTCCCGCCTGTTCCACTTCTAATCTTGCTCCCTACTAATGAGTCTGGGAAAGCAGCAAAAAACAGCCAAGTTCCTGAGCCCTTGCCACCCACATGGGAGACCCAGAAGAAGCTCCTGGCTCCTGACTTCAGCCTGGCCCAGCCCTGGCCATTGTGACCATTTAGGGAGTGAACCAGCAGATGGAAGATCTCTTTCTCTCTCTCCCTCTCCCGCTCTCTTCCCCTCTCCCTCTCTCCTTCCTCCACCCTGTGTGTAATGTTCAAATAAATAAATCTTAAAAAAAAAAAAAAAAAAAGACAAGGCCGGCACCACGGCTCACTAGGCTAATCCTACGCCTTGTGGCGCCGGTACACCGGGTTCTAGTCCCAGTCGGGGCACCGGATTCTGTCCCAGTTGCCCCTCTTCCAGGCCAGCTCTCTGCTGTGGCCAGGGAGTGCAGTGGAGGATGGCCCAAGTACTTGGGCTCTGCACCCCATGGGAGACCAGGAGAAGCACCTGGCTCCTACAATCGGATCAGCGCAGTGCGCCGGCCGCAGCACGCTGGTAGCGGCAGCCATTGGAGGGTGAACCAACGGCAAAGGAAGACCTTTCTCTCTGTCTCTCTCACTGTCCACTCTGCCTGTCAAAAAAAAAAAAAAAAAAAAAGACAAAAAAATCAGGTCAAATAAAAAACATAAAATAAGGTAGGTAGCATACTTAAAGCCAAATATATCTGCAACTACAATAAATATAAATAGAATAGAAATTCCAGTTAAAAGACAAGTTGGGGGCAGGCATTTGCATTTGGTGTAGTGGTTATAGGATGCCTGCATGCCATATCAGAGTGCCTGCTTTCATGTCCTAGCTCCCCTTCCAATTCTAGGTTGCTACTCATGCACACTCTGGGAAGCAGCAGATGATGGCTCAAGTACATGAGTCCCTGTCCCCACATGGGAGATCCAGATTGAGTTCAAGGCTCCTGGCTTTGGCCTGGCCCAGCACTGGCTGTTGCAGGCACTTGGGAGTGAATCAGCTGTTAGAAAATCTCTCTGCCTCTGTGCTTTTCAAATAAAATTGGGATTGAAGGGAGAAGCACAAGATGCTGACTAGACAATAAGAAATGCACCTAAAAAATAAGGACAGATGGCAATAATATTTGTGTCATTTGCCAAGTTGGGGGGCTTTTCCCTTCCTGCACACTTCTGTTATACTTTGACTATTTTGTTGTTACCACTACAGGCATTTGGAAATAATCCCATCCAAAGAATTGAGGGGCAACCACTTTTATCACTTAAAACATAGGCACTAAGTTTTCTTTTTTAAGTTTTCTGTAGCTTAGAAATGTGCCAGTGTGTTCAAACCATTCTACACTTCACCAGATTTAGTACCTACTAAAAATTCCAACTAGTCATTTTTTCCCTATGTAACAGTCATTTTTAATTAAAGGACTATATGTGTTCTTTTGTTATTTCAACCCTTGGATAATATGATAAGAATGGTAAGCTCTGATCATTATCAGACTGAATGATTCCTGATTTCCAGTGAGTGATCTAGTCCTATGCATTATACAGGTATAACATCTGTGAGTGTAAACAACTGGAACTGCACACTGATTAACATGACAGTTTTTTTGTTGTTGTTCTTCATCTGTACTGTATGATACACAGTATGTGGGTACAAATACCTACAAGTATACACAAATATGTATATGTATTCCACTATTATAATCTGAAAGAAAGAAAAAAAGTAAGGATAAATGTTGAACATTAGAGAAATAAAGAGATCATCCAAATACAATCTAATATATCTAGATTAATATTAGATAGACTTTAACATAAATAAGGTTACCACAGATAAAAGAAAGTTACTGTAAAAGGTTCAATTGTCCAGGAAGTTATAACAATTCAAAAGTGGTACACAACTGATAATATAGACACAAAAAAATAAAAGCATGAGCAAATTTTGAAAGAACTACAAGGAAAAACAGATAATTATAATGGTACCTATAGGAGAAAAACAATTCAACTAATAGCAACTTTCTCATTAGAAACCATGGAAGCCATAAAGAAGCTGCGCAACATTTTTCAAATGCTGGAAGAAAAGAGATGTCAACCTAGAATTCTATATCCAGCAACTAATCTTCAAGAATGAAGGGAAAATATTCCTCTGCCAAAGTAATATATTTTACTCATGTCCAGAGTTCCTCTTTAATATCAAATAAGAATGTATTAGAAGAAAGAAATTAGAATGTAATCAATTTTTATATGTGTTCTCTTTGATGTGGGTTTTTAAATATATTTCTTTTAGGCCAAAAAAAAAGAGAGAAAAAATAAAGACATTTCTCAACAAGAAAAACTTAAAATAATTTGTCCCTACCATACCATAAAAGAGAGAAAATGATAAAAGAAGGAATCTTGAAAATCAGGAGGGAAGTACAACTCAAAGGGCAAAAATATAAGTAAATAATAGAGATATTCCTTCTCCTCTAGGGTTTTCTAAATTATATTTGATGGTTGTGGGAAAAATTGTAACAGTGTTTAATGAATTTTTCAGTGAACACAGAGGAAATACTGAAGAAATTTTCATTATAAATAGTGGAAGGTAAAGGGATGTAAAGCAAGGTAAGAGTTCTAAATTTTACTTGAATTGGGAAAATGTCAAATTTGGTTAAGCACAGAAGAGGCGGATCTAAAGAACTGGACTTTGGAAATTTATATTTATTAAATAAAAGTTGAAAAAAAAAGAATTGAGGCTGGCGCCACGGCTCACTAGGCTAATCCTCCACCTTGCGGCGCCGGCACACCGGGTTCTAGTCCCGGTTGGGGCGCCGGATTCTGTCCCGGTTGCCCCTCTTCCAGGCCAGCTCTCTGCTGTGGCCAGGGAGTGCAGTGGAGGATGGCCCAAGTGCTTGGGCCCTGCACCCCATGGGAGACCAGGAGAAGCACCTGGCTCCTGCCTTTGGATCAGCGCGGTGCGCCGGCCACGGCGGCCATTGGAGGATGAACCAATGGCAAAGGAAGACCTTTCTCTCTGTCTCTCTCACTGTCCACTCTGCCTGTCCAAAAAAAAAAAACTGAAAAGCCACATTTTTAAAAAACATATTATAGTTCCTACTCCTTGACTCTCTAAATCTGGCTTTTTTAAAATTTATTATTATTATTAATTTATTATCAGAGGTAGAGTTACAGATGGAGAGAGGGAGAGACAAATAGAAAGGTCTTCCATCCACTGGTTCACTCCCTAAATGGCAGCAACAGCTGGAGCTAGGACCATCCGAAGCCAGGAATCGGGAGCTTCTTTGGGTCTCCCACATGGGTGCAGGGGCCCAAGGACTTGGGCCGTCTTCTACTGCTTTCCCAGGCCATAGCAGAGAGCTGGATTGGAAGAGGGTCAGTCAGGACACGAACCAATACCCAAATGGGATGCTGGTGCTGCAGGCAGAGGCTTAGCCTACTAGGCCATAGTGCCAGCCCCTAAATCTGGCTGTTTTAAACCAGTCCAGTAACCATACACTTACTAATGAGCTCTCCTCTTCCTTGACTTTCATGGTGCATTTTATAATGCTGAATATGTTCTCCTTCAAATCCTTACTGTTGCTGAAGGAACCAACCTAATAACTCTCCTACATATATGTATACAAGGATACTTCAAAAAGTTCACAGAAAAATAGAATTCAAAGTATGAATCTGGGGCCAGAGCTGTGATGTAGCGGGTAAAGCTGCCACCTGCAATGCTGTCATCCCATATGGGTGCCGGTGCGAGTCCTGGTTGCTCTACTTCCAATCCAGCTCTCTGCTATGGCCTGGGAAAGCAGTAGAAGATGAAAGTCCTTGGGCCCCTGCACCCACATGAAAGACCTGGAAGAAGCTCCTGGCTCCTGGCTTTGGATCAGCGCAGCTGCGACCATTGCGGCTAATTGGGGAGTGAACCAGTGGATGGAAGACCTCTCTCTCTCTGCCTCTCCTTCTGTCTCTCTCTGTGTAACTCTGTTCCCCGTGTGGGGCAGGCACCAGGGGATGAGTGTGTTGGACTATCTGGCCACGGAGTCGCATGCCTTGCCCGCTGCAAGAGAGGGGCGCATGCCAGCGCTATGGCTCACTAGGCTAATCTTCCACCTGTGGCACCAGCACCCCGGATTCCTGTCACGGTTGGGGCTCCAGTTCTGTCCCGGTTGCTCCTCTTCCAGTCCAGCTCTCTGCTGTGGCTCAGGAGTGCAGTGGAGGATGGTCCAGGTCCTTGGGCCCTGCACCCGCATGGGAGACCAGGAGAAAGCACCCGGTTCCTGGCTTCGGATTGGCGCAGTGTGCCAGCGCGCTGTAGCGGCCACTTTGGAGGTGAACCAAAGGAAAAAGGAAAACCTTTCTCTCTGTCTCTCTCTCTCACTGTCTAACTCTGCCTGTCAAAAAAAAAAGTATGAATTTATTTTAGTGCCATAAGTTTTTCATAATACATGAAAATTCAGAACAAAACTACACATAGACTTCAAAAACTTGTGCACCAAAGTAAACTCATACTACTAATTCCAATTTTCCACGAACTTTCTGAAGTATCCTTGTACTTTTTTTTGTCTGCAATTGACTTTTCTATCTTCTACCCATCCCTTATTTATGCTTCATTATGTTTCTCAAAGTTAGGGCCTCAAACTGTGGGAACTTGAAACACTTGAGCCCAATTCATACCTACTTATTCAGAAACGAAAGAATTCTAATCATAGCCTTCCTTTACTTCCAGTTCTCTAGCCCGGAAAGGGCTCTTGTTGTTCTGCCTGCTATGCTAGCTGGGAACAAAATCCCAATATTGCCAACATTAACCATAACACCACAAAAGCAGTTAGATCTAATTTCAATAAAACAAAGGAACATGTAGCTATTTATTATCTTACCACCATTTCCTAGTGGCTGTAATATATCTCCTGTCAGGCAACACCATCCAACTGGAAAAAGATCCCGAGAGTCATATTTGCACCAGTAATCAAATGCTCCACTCCAGCCATCAAATGTGATGTGAACTTCATCTCCTCTAACACCCCCGATTGTAGCAGGACAGATGAGAAATGGGTTCTTTTTGTCAACAGCCTCGAGCTTCATCCCCACTTTAAAATTATTAAGGGGTGGCTTTGGGGGTTCCTGTCAAAACATTAAAAAAATTTCATGTTAAGATATATTAAGAATCACTTGTTCAAGTGTATTGTATTACAACCTTTAGCAGTAAAGAACTTCATATTTCTCAATTACTACAGGAAGAAAAGAATTCTGCTTTCCAATATCTCATTTTTATTCTGCAACAGAGTCAAGAACTTAGAAAGAAACAAAAACAGCCTGCTTCATTTATTTATTCAATAAAATATATATTATCTACTGTGTACCAGGAATTTAAGATTCATTGGTAAACAAAAATACCAAAGATCCTTGCTCTGGTGGTGATGGTAATGGTGACTGGAGACAGGAAAGAGCAATCAAGAAATTTCAGGGGGCAGGCATTGTGGTGTAGGGGTTAAAGCCATCACCTACAATACCAGCATCACATATGGCCACTGGTTCCAGTGCCAGCCACTCCACTTCTGATCCAGCTCCCTGCTAATGGCATGGGAAAGCAGCGGAAGACGGCCCAAGTTCCTGGGTCCCTGCCACCCCTGTGGGAGACCCAGAAGAAGATCCTGGCTCCTGGCTTCAGACCAGCCCAACTCTGGCTGTTGCAGCCATCTGGGGAGTGAACCAGCAGATGGAAGATCTCTCTCTCTCTCTCTCTCTCTCTCTCTCTCTCTCTCTCCATCTCTCATTCTGTAACTCTGACTTTAAATGAATGAATAAATTTTAAAAAGAAAGAAATTTCAGAAGAGTCAGACAAATCTAATAAATATGTAAATTATAGGGTTGTTGAAAGGTGGTAAGTCTAAAGAAAAAGAACAGCATCACACAATATCCTAAAAGAACCTCAAAGTATAATAGGCAGACATAAGAATATGTAAGTCATATATAGTCTTGAGGCCTTCATGATATACAATCCAGAAACAAATATTAAAAAAGTATTCCCTAGTTACAAAAAGTTGAAGCATATAAATGCTAACAGGATTTTTACAAAGCCCAAATGCTATGTTCAAAGCAGTATTTTTTTAAAGATTTATTTATTTAAAAGAGTTACACAGAGAGGAGAGGCAGAGAGAGAGAGAGAGAGAGAGAGGTCTTCCATCCGATGGTTCACTCCCCAGATGGCCACAAAGGCCAGAGCTGTGCTGATCCGAAGCCAGGAGCCAGGAGCTTCTTCCGGGTCTCCCACATGGGTCAGGGGCCCAAGGACTTGGGCCATCTTCCACTGCTTTCCCAGGCCATAGCAGAGTGTTGGATTGAAAGTGGAGCAGCCGGGTCTTGAACCCGCACCCATATGGGATGCTGGCGCTTCAGGCCAGGGCATTAACCCACTGCGCCACAGCGCCGGCCCCCAAAGCAGTATCTTTTCTTTTAATCTGCTTTCCATGCTAGCACATGACACCATCACAACAACATTGTCACTCAAGCCAGAAGTCTGGAAATAGTCCTAAAGCAGTGATTCTCAGCTGGACTGAACATATGATTCACCTGGGATCACATCACCTCAGAGAGTCTGAATTATTCTAGAGTGGGACCCAGTTTTCAGCCTCTTTTAATTCTCCAGGTGAATCTAATGTGTATCTAAAGTTGAGAACCACTATCCTAGATTCATTTCTTTCATTCAGCCACAAGTCAGTAAAAAACCACAACCTGCCAATTCGATTCCATGCCTTATCTCTGGGATAACATTAAAAATTAACTTTCAGAAGTACCCATTTGGTGCAATGGTTAAGACACTGTTTGGGGGACTGGCGCTGTGGCGCAGCAGGTTAACGCCCTGGCCTGAAGCGCCAGCATCCCATATGAACGCTGCTTCAAGACCTGGCTGCTCCTCTTCCGATCCAGCTCTCTGTTATGGCCTGGGAAAGCAGTAGAAGATGGCCCAAGTCCTTGGGCCCCTGCACCCATGTGGGAGACCCAGAAGAAGCTCCTGGCTCCTGGCTTCAGACCAGTGCAGTTCCGGCTGTTGCAGCCATCTGGGGAGTGAACCATCGGATGGAAGACCTCTCTCTCTTTCTCCTCTCTCTGTGTAACTCTGACTTTCAACAAAAAAAAAAAAAAAAAGACACTGCTTGGGATGCCCAGAATGCCTGGATTCAAGTCCTTGCTCTGCTCCTGATTCCAGCTTCCTGCTAATGCACACCCTGGAAGATAGCAGGTGATGGCTCAAGTAGTTGGGTCACTGCCATCCATACAGAAGACCTGGATTGAGTTCCTGGCTCCTGGTTTGGGGCTGCCTCCCACCCATCCTGGCTGTTGCAGGCATCTGGGGAGCGAACCAGCAGATGGGATCTCTCTATTTCTGCATCTCTGCCTTACAATTAAGTAAAAAAGTTAACCTTCAATTTTCAGTATATGCCAGGCATTCTTTTAAATGTTTACATATATTCATTCAATTCGTACAAAAACCTTATGAAGTCAGTACAACTATTAACCACATTTTCAAGATGAAAAAACTGACACACTGGCCGGCGCCGTGGCTCACTCGGCTAATCCTCCGCCTGCGGCACCGGCACTCTGGGTTCTAGTCCTGTTTGGGGTGCCGGGTACTAGTCCTGGTTGCTCGTCTTCCAGTACAGCTCTCTGTTGTGGCCCGGGAGGGCAGCGGAGGATGGCCCAAGTGCTTGGGTCCCTGCACCCACATGGGAGACTGGGAGGAAGTACCCGGCTCCTGGCTTCAGATCAGCGCAGTGCCGGCCGTAGTGGCCTTTAGGGGAGTGAACCAACGGAAGCAAGACCTTTCTCTCTGTCTCTCTCTGTCTATAACTCTGTCTCTCTCACTGTCTAACTCTGCCTGTCAAAAAATTTTAAAAAAAAAATTGACACACTGCCTAAAAATACACAAGTATCAGAGCTGGATTTTAAACCCAGCAGGCTGTCTCAGAGCCACCTCCTTGGAACAGTCTATTGCATCACCACTTGCCTGGCCAACTCCTACTTATTTACTTCAAAGCCCAGCTCTTAATGCTTTCCTTAAATATGTCCCTGACTAATCCCTGTCCACTTCTACAATGATCTCAAAGCCACTCTTAACTTCAACTGTGAGACCAGTGGTGAATAATCACTCCTGCGACCAAGAGATTCTTGAAAGTAGGAACTATATCTTATCCATATTTTCGTGTCCAGTACAGTACCCAATAGCAGGCAATTTTTTGTATCCTAATTTTTAAAAATTTGTATTTATTTTCATTTATTTGAGAGAAACAAAGAGACAGAGAGATAGAGATCTTCCATCTGCTAGTTCACTCCCCAAATGCCCATAATAGCCAGGACTGGGTTAGGCGAAAATCAGGAACCAGGAACTCAATCCAGGTCTCCCACATGGATGGCAGAGACCCATGTACTTGAGCCAACACCTGCTGCATCCCAGGACACATTAATAGGAAGCTAGAGTCAGAAGCGGAGCCAGGACTTGCTTGACCTTTGATATGGGACACAGGCATCTCAAGTGGCATCTCTTGTGCCAAATATCTGCCCTGCCAGCTTTCTGTTTTGTTTTTAATGAGAAAATCAAGAAATCAATTCAGAAGAGTAAATAAGTTGTCCACTAACTTTTACTAAGACAATTTTAAAAACATGACTGGGGGCAGGTTTGTGATTAAGACACCTCTCTGAGCACCCACATTCCATATCAGAAGGCCTAGGTTTGAGTTCCAGCTCTGCTTCGGATTCCAACTTCCTACTACTGGTACACACTGGGAGGCAGCAGGTGACGACTCAAGCACTATTGGAGAAAAGTCCCAGAAGCTTATTTCATGTAGTACCATACATCTTTACTCTTCATCTTTAGCTGAGCCCTCCAAACTAACGTCATGTGTCCTTAGGCCATTCTCTCCCCCAAGCTTGAATTGAATCATTAAAAAGTAAGTTAGAGGCCAGCATTGTGGCCCAGTGGGTTAACCTGCCACTTGCAATGTCAGTATCCCATATGATCACCAGTCTGAGTCCTGGCCACTCCTCTTCTGACCCAGCTCTCTGCTAATGTACCTGGGAAGGGAGCAGGGGATGGCTCATGTGCTTGGGCCCCTGCCACTCATGTAGCAGACCTGACTGGAGTTCCAGGCTCCTGGTTTCAGCCTGGCCCAATCATGGCCATTGCAGCCATTTAGAAAGTGAACCAGAGAATGGAAGATCTCTTTCCCTCTCTTTGTGTCTCCTTCTTTCTGTAATTCTGCCTTTCAAATAAGTAAATATATCTTTTAAAAAGAAAAAATATAGCAGTTAGCCAGGGAACACCAGCACGAGTCAAAGCATAACTCTAAATAGGAACATGGTATTCAAAGACTATTACAAGCAATTTAGAACATAAAATCCAAAATAGGTTATGGCAGCCCTAAACTAGATCATATGAGATCTAATAAGCCATATTAATAAACATACAGAAACTTCCAAAGAATTTCAAGTGGAGGGAATGAGGTGCTAAGGTTTCTGTGTCAGATACAATATTTCTAGTGGTTGTGTGGAAGGATGAAGATGAGAACAGTTAAAGGGCTAGTCTAAAAATCTAGGCAAGGGAAAAGCCTGCATGAGGGGCAGTGGTGGTAAGGTTAGAAAAAGGAGACAAAACAAAGGAATAATTAGCAAGATAAGTGATCATCCTAATTAATTCGCTATCCAGAGTCCAAGGGTCAAGGAGGAATAAGAATGGAAGCGGATGGAAGGTCTCTCTCTAGCTCTGCCTTTCAAATAAAATAAATAAATCTTTAAAAAAAAAAAGTAAAAACCAATACTTGTTTGCATATGTACAGAAAAAGGTCTAGAAGAACAAATAAAACTTCAACTTGGAGAGCAGAGTGAAATGAAGAAATGGACAGCACAAAAGAGATGCATTTTTCATTCTAGTTAAGAGAATGGCTTGATTTCCTCCTCCCCTACACACAAACATGAATTACTTTTATAATCTAAAAAATTTAACACATAATCACACATATAATATATGACATATGATTAGTTGATAAACCAAACTGCTAAGTAAAATAATCTAATGGCTTTTCTAAAGCCACAGCTCAAGCTAATAGATACTTCATAAATAAAGACTGCTGCTAAATATTTCTTTTTATATAAGCCATTTTGACATCTGGTTTACATACTGGACAAAGGGCTTGCATTCGCCTGCATCCCTTGTTGCTAGGGCAAGTCCACTTTCTGAATTCATGCCACTCAAAGTTAGATTCACATAATTTTTCTTTGTAATGCAGGAGTCATATTAATTGACGTTTAAAAGTTTTATGTCTTTAATATTCTTCAAAAGGCTTAAAATTATAATCAATTTTTACCAGCCTAGTATGAACAGTTGTAATAAAATACTTGTAAATTACTGAAAAAGCAATCAGGAGAGAGAATAAGAGAAATATTTTGATTCATAATTTAACTAAAATTTGGCTTTTGTTCATGGTTACTTAATATATACTCTTTTCAAAATTCTCTAGAACAAACTAGTTTTGGAATTTTTCCTTTTTACATGAAAAGTATTTCATTATAACATATTCTTTCTGATGACTGTTTTTAACACTCTTTACTTATGAAAATAAATCTCTAAGTAACTTTCAAGTGGTTTTTTTGGCCCATCATCACTTTCTCCAATATCAAACAAATGACTAACACAGCAAAGTGAGGAGTAACTTCACTTCTGAAGGTAAATAAAAAATAGCAATGAACATTTAGTTCCAGTAGAGTATCCCTTTCATATCTAAAATCAAGAAAGAGGGTATTAATTCAATTCAGTCAGTGGGTGATTACAATTGAGATTTTTCTATGATTTGCTGTTATGGGCTAAATTGTGTCATTCCCCAAATCCCTATGTTAAAGTCCTAACTTTCAGCGCCCCAAGAATGTTACTGTGTTTGGAAATAAGATATTTAAGGTAATTAAGTTAAAATGAGACCATTATGGTAGGCCCTAACCCAGTATGACTCATGTCACTTTTTTTTCAAAGATTTATTTATTTATTTGAAAGTCAGAGTTACAGAGAGAGAGGAAAGGCAGAGAGAAAGAGAAAGAGGAGAGGCAGTGAGAGAGAGAGAGAGGTCTTCCATCCACTGGTTCACTCCCCAATTGTCCACAATGGCCTGAGCTGCACTGATCTGAAGCCAGGAGCCAGGAGCCAGGAGCCTCCTCCAGATCTCCCACACAGGTACAGGGGCCCAAGGGTTTGGACCATCCTCCACTGCCTTCCCAGGCCATAGCAGAGAGCTGGATGGGAAGTGGAGCAGCAGGGCCTCAAACAGGCACCCATATGGGATGCCAGCACTTCAGGCCAGAGCGTTAACCCACTGCACCACAGCGCCAGCCTGATATCCTTATAAGAAAAAATTAGAACATAAACAGACCATGTGAAAATATAGAGCCAAAGACAGAAGCCACAGAAGAAACCAACCCTGTTGACACCTTGATCTCAGATTTCTAACCCCCAGAAATGGGAAAAATAAATTTCTATTGCATAAGCTTCTAGGCTGAATCATGTCCCCCTAAAATCCATATGTTGAAGTACAACCCCCAAAATGAGTACATTTAGAGATAGGGCCTTTTAGGAAATAATAAAGGTTAAGTGAGGGCATTAGAATGGGGTCCCTAATAAAATAGGATTAATGTCCTTATAAGATGAGAGACACCAGGGATGTGCATATATTTAAGCATTTCCATTAAAACAACACAATCACGACACAGTTTTTAAAGCTGTCTGTAACATATTTCTTACCTTTTTGAAGAATGCTGCAGGTGCCATTTCAGATCCACTTAGGGTTCGTAACAGGAACATAGGCCAAGATGATGCATTCATCTGGAATCCTATTTTTATAAATAAGAGATCAAGGAAAAGCGTCTCTGTAACACTATAGCAAGTTAGTATAAAAAAAAGGTTCATTCACCATTCTCCTTCAAATAATGACATTCCTATCTAAGATCTCAGGATAAGGGCAAGAGGAGCAGATACACATCCTCTCATTGCTACTGTTTCCACTGTACTGTCTGGCAACAATACTACAATGAAGACAGAGAACTTGCCATCCAGGGCTCATCAGCAAACATAAATATGTTGGAAATAGGCCTTCATACTATAAATGATCCAAGACAGAGCCCAGGAGAACGTCCATTCCACCACCACCAAGCACCAGCAAAGACTGCAAAAGACTTCTAGCTACTTTTTCTTCAGAACCCCTGGCTTCCTTCCTTAGAAAGACAGTTCTCCAAGAAACTCAGCGAATATACAGAGCCATTTCACTGTATGTAAATTTTACTTCAAAAAAATTAAATACTTATTCTAGTTAATAATATACATGCCAAAGTACTTAAGAGAAATGTACATCAATAACTTACTCTGAAATACATTTAAAATAAGATGGATGAATCAATAAACAGACAAATAGATGGATAGATAAGTAATAAAGTACACACAGTAAAATAATAATGGCAAAATTCAAGAAGTGGGAATATGGGTGTTCACTTTAAATTTTTTTCACCTTTTCTGTATGTTTGACAATTTTCATAATATGTTAAGAAAAAATCTCTCATTTTAACAATTTTTATACATACTAAACATGATCTTCTAGAATTTATCTCAAATGCTGTTTAAATAGACTCAACAGGTGCTTTCCTAGACATCTTGTAGCATTTGGCACATGCAGCAGGAAGCAGGGACTGCTAATTTTACTATTTTGTGGGGACAATTGTTTCACACAACACCTGCCTGCTTCAATGCCAGAATTGGAAAAAATTTGGCATGTACTCCTGATAGATACACACATTAGGATAGGGAGGCACGTGAATCACTGGCAACAAGTCCATCAACAGCACAAAACATGCAAAAAAAAAAAAGTGAGATTAAAAAGCCATCCTCTGGGCCAGCACTGTGGCGTAGTGGGCTAAGCCTCTGCCTGCGGCAGCAGAACCCCAAATGGGTACCAGTTCATGTCTCTGCTGCTCCTCTTCCCATCCAGCTCTCTGATGATGGCCTATGAAAGCAGTGGAAGACGGCCCAAGTTCTTGAGCTTCTGTACCCATGTGGGAGCCGTGGAGGAAGCTCCTGGCTTCAGATTGGTCCAGCTCCGGCTGTTGTGGCCATTTGGGGAGTGAACCAGTGGATGGAAGACCTCTCTCTCTGTCTCTCTCAGTCTCTCCCTCTCTCTCTCTCTCTCTGCAACTCTGTCTCTCAAATAAATAAATCTTAAAGAAGGAAGAAGAAGAATGAAAGAAGGAAGAAGAAAGAAAAAGAAGAAGAAGAAATGACCATAAATCTGGCTAGGTATTTGAAATGCTGTCAATTACAACAACTACCATTTCCTTTAAATAAAATCCCAAAACATATTATCATATTGCAAATGGAGAACTAAAATCCAAACAGGCAGGTATTAAGCCCCAGGTTTGCAATTATTTCTTGACAAAACTCTGTATGATTTAAGAAATATTATAAACAAAAAATGTGGATGATAAGAAGAAAGAAGACAAAAAGCAAAAAACACACATGCCCTACACCATTTTCTTGGAATACAGCTGTGATTTTTATAAAAATTTTTTGAACTAGGACAGTCATAATTTAAAATGAGAATAAGATAGATATTGCAAAAAGAGTAGTTACTGTTAATGTCTTAATTTTTTTATTTTCAGGGAATTTTTCACTAATGGGGACCAAAAAAATCTGTTCTCATATTTGACAATAAAGAATTTTCATTCTGAGCATTGTAAAGCAGAATCAAATAAAAACCAATATTCTTCAGTTAGTCAGAACTTGGAATGGTTAACAAATAAACAAAATCATTTCTTTTCTACAGAGTATCATGGTACACTTAAATTTTAAAAAGAAAATTTTTGCACAAAGTTAGAGTTGTATCATTTTACCTTTTAAAAATTTGGCCAAAATTGAGGACTATATACTTTGTACCTTAAAACATTTGCTGAAAGTTCCATCCTCTCCTCCTCTTCAAAGACCTAAAGGCACTGATTCCTACCTCTCTGCCTAATTTCTTCACACTGTATGTGTAACAAAATTCCAAGTTTGAAACTGGAGCCTAAACATGGAACCATACCCTTCCTCTATTCTCACTCCCATGGATGAATAATGGCTTAGCAGACATTATGCAGAGGGGGCGAAACTTGTATCAAATGCTACAAACTTCTTCCCCAAAAGGGTTTCTGAATCTCCATGTGTAATCTAATACATCTGTTTTTAATATTTTGAATGTGAGGACACAGAATGAGGCTTGCTTTAGCATGGGGAACTCTCAGCACACAAAAAGTTAAATGTAGACTTAAGTGACACTCTATGACATATGGTACTGAGTTCATTGCTCATCTTACATTCTGCACAGTAATCACCTGACCACCTACATGTAAGAATGTCTAAGAGATTTTCAAAAGGAAACTGCACATACTTCCAAACATAATATCATATTAGTAAAAACATCATTTTAAAAATTGTTTATCCATACCTAGTGGAGGTTGAAGTAAATCTCCTTCCTTCTCACATGTCCCAACAGGTTGTATGTCACAGGAATCGACAAGCCTCCAAAAGTCGTTTCTATTGTCACTACCGTCGAGGCGTAAACGTAATCTCGCCCCAGTAATTCCAATAACCGTAGCAATACATACGGAAGTAACATTGCGAGGATCACGAGCTTCCAATTTCATACCAACTTTGAAGTCATTAGCCGGTGGAATTTTAGACTATACATATATATGTGTATATATATAAAAACAAAGTTTTAATAACATACATCAATTATAAGGAAGAAGGTCAGTATTGTTACCAGAATACCTAAGGAACATTTTAAGTAACAGTCACAGCAGAAAGTAAGGTCAGAGCTACAAAAGGTCAAGGAAAAGATCTCCAAATTCTTTCCTTGACTTAACAGGAAGCATTAAAACACTGCCCATCACTCATCTGCCCAATTTCAGGTAGCCTCTAAAAGGCACCAAGTGGCTTTCTAAAATAAAAATCTGATTCAGCCATTCCCCGAGAAATAAATCATCCCCCCTGAAATAAGCCAACCAGCAGCTTGTCCCTGCTTATGATAAAGTCCAACTCCTCAACACAGTTTAAATGACCTCCCACCTTAAACCTCACTCCTACACTACTGCCTCTACCCACTGTGTGCTCTAACTACCCCCATATGTCATCCCTCAATCCCCAAGATTCTTTCACACCATGTGTGAAGCCTTAGCTTCTGATACTCTCTTGGCCTGGAATAAATTTTTCCTCATTCCAACCATCTCAAATAACACCTCTTCTGTGCACCCTCCCAGTACTGAGTTAGTACAAGTCTAATAATTATTTATTTACATGGCTGTCTTTCCCTTCAGATGGACAATCATAAGGCCTTAGTACACTTGATACAGACTAAATTCTCAATAAATGAAGAGACCATCTGGCTCCTAAGTGCTACTACCATAATTCCACTTTGTCCTCACACTAACCAGAATCTGACAATCACACAGACATCTTTCAACAGTTAATAGGTTGCATCAATACATATAACATCTGTGGGACTGGCACTGTGGTGTACCAGGTAAAGCTGCCGCCTGCAGTGCCAGCATCCCATGTGGGCACCAGTTCAACTACTTCCCATCCAGCTCTCTGGTATGGCTTGGGAAAGCAGCAGAAGATAGCCCAAGTCCTTGAGCCTCTGCACCAGCATAGGAGATCTCGAAGAAGCTCTTGGCTCCTGGCTTCAGAACTGGGGAGTGAAACAGTGGATGGAAGACTCTCTCTCTCTCTCACTCTCTCTCTCTCTCTCTCTCTCTGCAACTCCGCCTTTCAAATAATTAAACAAATCTTTAAAAAAATACATATAACATCTGGGGCTGGCATTGTGGCACAGCAAGTAAAGACACTGCCTGCAACACCAGCATCCCATATGGGCACCAGCTCATGTCCCCGCTGCTCCATTTTCAGTCCAGCTCCCTGCTAATGGTCAGGGGAAAGAAGCAAAAGATGGCCCATGGGTTTGGACCTCTGCCACCCATGTGGAAAACCCAGATGAAGCTCCTGGCTCCTGGCTTCAGTGTGGCTCAACCCTGGCTGTTGCAGCCACTTGGGGAGTGAGCCAACAGATAGATGATCTCTCTCTCTCTCTCTCTCTCTTTCTCTCTCCCTCTCTCCCTCTCTTTCTATAACCCTGACTTTCAACATAAATAATCTTTAAATATATACAGAGATAGATATAGATATGTATGTATACACACACACACACACACAAAACATCTACGGAATTCTGGCATACCTGTCTGAAGTAATCTGAAGGAGCACTTAAAGATCCTGTCGCCTTCAAGTACTGGTCCCAGTGGAAATCATCTGAACAAAATGCATGTATAAAACACAGATTTTTTTTTTTAGTATATACTATTGCATACTAACTTTTAGCAATAAAATACTCACATCCCATTTTGAAGTGCATGGATTTGAATCCCAGTTCCACTCCCAATTCTAGCTTCCTAATGCACATCCTGGGATATAGCAGGTGATGACTTAAATGCGTGGGGCCCTGCCACTCATGTGGAAAACTTGGATTGAATTCCCAGCTCCTGGCTTCAGCCTAGCCCAGGCCTGACTGTTGCAGGCATTTGGGGAGTGACCAGAGGATGGGAGATCTCTTTCTCCCTGTGTCTCTATACCTTTCAAATAAACCAAATTTAAAAAAAAATAAAAATTGCTAAAAGGCAGATTCAAACATTGTGATCTACATTTGATTACTGTCAGGGGAATTAAAAAGAAGACCTGATAATAATGGCTCAGATATAATTACAACCCAGATCCTCTCAACGTAATAAGAACTACAGAACAATGATTCTAAAAATATGGATGCTAGAAACAACTAAAGGAATTTTTATAGAGTAACAGCATAGTCTACTCATCTATCTCTAACATAAATTTATAATTTAAGAAACATGGTTTTGCCATCTCATTCCATTAATGTGAAGATGTTTCTTTGTTTTTGATGGAAAGCTAAAGGTATTTAAGTGTGTGGTCTAACAGAGTTTTACCCCTGTAATGTTTTATGGAAAGAAAAAAATCTGAGAATCAAAGCAGTTTTTTAATGGACTACTAGATCTCCACCCTGAGTGTCAAGAAGACAGCAGCAGAACGAAACAATAAACCACTCAATAGTGCAATCATTAGCACAATTTTTTTAAATGATCCACATTCTCTATAAATTCTTCATGTCTTTTCTCATTTAGTCTTCATGATATGATTCTAGAACAGAAGGTCAGAAAGCAGTGTGCTTTGTCTGACTTGAACACTTCAATTCACTGCACCAGACTGTCAAGACACTGAAATACTTGACACTAATACTGAAAGTACTGTTAAGTTTGTTATCAATTATAATGTTTTTTCTATATTCTTGTTAAGTTTCCTCACTACCAAAATATTGGATTTGACAATTCCCTTTCCTGGGGAAATCTACACTCCCAGCCTCTACACACAGCAAGCCCCCTTATCTTTAGTCCCTCCTTACCCACAGTCTTACCTTCCATGGTTTCATTTACCTGTGGTAAACCCAGCTTGAAAATATTAAAGGGAAAATTCCAGAAATAAACAACTTTTAAGTTTTAAGTTGTACTTCCTTCTGAGTAATGTGATGATATCTCATGCCGTCCTGCTCTATTCTTACTCAAGACAGGAGTCATCCCTTTGTCCACACTGTATACACTACCTGTTAGTCACTTAGCCACACTGGTTATCAGGTCAACTGTCACCGTATTACAGTGCTTCACCAGTCAAGTGATTCTTATTTTACTTAATAATGGCCCCAAAGCTCAAGAGTAGTGATGTTGGCAATTCGAATATACTACAAAAAAGCCATGTTAGCATGCTTCCTTTAAGTGAAAAGGTAAAAGTTCTCAAAGAAAAAAAAATCCTATGCCAAGGTCAGTAAGATCTACGTAAGTAATTGTTAATCTCTCACTGTGTTTAATTTATAAATTAAACTTTATTCTTGGCATGTTATATATAGAACAAAAAATACTACATATGGAATGTGATACTATACGTGGTTTAAGGCAGCCACATGGGGGTCTTGGAATGTATTCTCTTGCAGATAAGGGAAGAATTACTATAGTCCTCAAAGGATCAAAGGATTCAGTTACACACACACACACACACACACACACAAAATGCTGATAAATGTTTAGCGACTAGCTTTGTGGAAAATACAAACAAAAAGTCTGACTACTACTATTTGTGGATTTATGTAAATACTACTTTCATGGCTGACTATAAGGTGCCAAGGTGAAGCCAGGAACCACAAAGTTGGGAAGAGATATGCACAACAGGCTCTCCCAAGCCAGTGTGAGCTGACTCCAGTGTAGCATCATTGTATATGTGTATATACATTTATTATAATTATGTATGAACATTACATATAGTATTACACATGTCATATATAACATACTGTAACATGATTTTATTAAACTTAATTAATCTAAGAGATTTGTTCATTTCAAAAAACATTGAGTGGCATGCCTTTGGTGTAATAATTAAGACACTGCACCATAACACCAGGCCCAGAAATATAATGGTGGTTACCAGAGGGAGAAAAGCAGGGAGGGAAAGATGGGGAGAAGTTCACTGACAGGTACTAGGCTAGACAGGAACAAGAAGTTCCGGGGTTCTGTTGTACAGATTGAGGATGGATGTTAATTCACTGTGTATTTATTGAAAAAACTAGAAGAGAGAATTTTTGGCTGTTTTCACTGTAAAGAATTGTTAAATGCTTGAAAGGATAAATATATTTACCCTGATTGGCCATGACACAATGTGTACATGGACATGACGAAATGTATACAAGTAATGAAACATCACATAGTACCCCATAAATATGTGCAATTTTTATATATCTGTTAAATCTTTACAATAAAATATCTCTAAACCATACCATTTTGCACAGAAGATGTGCTTGAATGAGGAATATCCTCTTGATTCTCCTTCTTCACATCCATTGAATCTAAAAATAGAAAACAATACAGACAAGCCATAGAATCAGTTTGAAACAGCCCTTTGAACACTATAAGCAGAAACTATTTTTTTTAACAGAAATCAGTTTTACTTTTATGATTAATATCCTCATTTTACACACAGGACTTACCACTTGCTAATATACTAGGTACCTTATAATTTGCTTGTTTATTCTGTATCATACTCTACTCAAGTGAAAGCTCCAAAAAGGTAGAGGTTTATTTACTATGTCCATCTTGTTCACTATTGTATCTTCAGAGCCTAGAACAGGACCTGCCCTGTAGAATACCCTCAAGTATTTGTTAAATAATACATCAATAAACCAAAATAATCTGATCTTTACAATGTTTAAATTACCACCTCCTAGAAATGTGGGGCCGGCACCGTGGCTCACTTGGTTAATCCTCCGCCTGCGCACCAGCATCCCATATGGGCACCAGGTTCTAGTTCCAGCTGCTCCTCTTCCAGTCCAGCTTTCTGCTGTGGCCCTGGAGGGCAGTGGAGGATGGCCCAAGTGCTTGGGCCCTGCACCCGCATGGGAGACCAGGAGGAAGCACCTGGCTCCTGGCTTCGGATCGACGCAGCCTGCCGGCCGTAGCAGCCATTTGGGGGTGAACCAATGGAAGAAAGACCTTTCTCTCTCTCTCTCTCTCACTATTGGTAAAAAAATAAAATAAAATAAAAATAAAAAATAAAGTGGATGCTTCTAAGCATTCGAAATGTAACAGGGAAAAAATGTAACAGGGAAGAACACCACATAATATCACATAATTCAACAAATCAGAGATTTTCCTCTGTGCTAACCTAAAGACCTCAAATAGCACTGACCTTACCAAATCTGATATATCATTTTATCCACAAACAATACATTATGTGTCTGTAAGAGGATTTGCTTTAAAACACATAAGCATAATACTATTACTTTTGAAACTAACTATAACCCCTTAGTATAATCAACCAGTGTTCATTTTTTTCCCAATTGTCTTCATTAGTGTGTGTTTCTTTGAATGAGGATTTAAATAAAGTTCATTCACAGCAATAGTTGATACATCTCATGTCTCTTTTAATCTGTAAGTTCTCCCTCCTTCTCTTGTTTTTTTTCCCCAGCCCCTTGCAATTTTTTTGCAGACAGTACCAGTTGGTTGGTCCTATCAAGTTTTCCAGTCAAATTTGTTGACTGTCTTCCCGTGGTATTTTTTTTAACCCTTGTATTTTCTCTAATTTGGTATTAGTATTTCAATTCAGAAGTGTTTAATCAGATTCAAGTTGGGCTTTTGAGGAGGAGGAGGGAAAAAGACAACTTCCTAACAGCTGATCACCTCTCTTTTGGGGATATGAGCAAACCATGGATGGCTATTGCATAGATCCATTAGTTTTCTGGTGGTTGCAAAGTGGAGGTAGTCTATCACTCTTTCTTTATTAGCCAAAAAACTTCCACAGATAGAAACCTCCCCTGTTCAACCACTCAGGGTACCTGGAAGCACAAATCACATAGGGAAATCACAACCAACACTTAATTTTTTTTTCCTTGATTTTCTAGTTTTTAAAACAATGTGCTGGGAGGGATGGCAATGTGGTGTAGTAGGTTGACTACTAGTAGTAGGGAGACAACGCCACAGCACCAGCCCCAACATTTCATACTTTTTAAAAACAAATTCTAGGCCGGCGCCGTGGCTCACTAGGCTAATCCTCCGCCTAGCGGCGCCGGCACACCGGGTTCTAGTCCCGGTCGGGGCGCCGGATTCTGTCCCGGTTGCCCCTCTTCCAGGCCAGCTCTCTGCTGTGGCCAGGGAGTGCAGTGGAGGATGGCCCAGGTGCTTGGGCCCTGCACCCCATGAGAGACCAGGAAAAGCACCTGGCTCCTGGCTCCTGCCATCGGATCAGTGCGGTACGCCGGCCGCAGCGCGCCGGCCGCGGCGGCCATTGGAGGGTGAACCAACGGCAAAGGAAGACCTTTCTCTCTGTCTCTCTCTCTCACTGTCCACTCTGCCTGTCAAAAAAAAAAAAAATTCTAAAAAGTAATTTGAAGAAAGAATGACTGGGACCAACACTGTGGCGTAGTAGGCTAAGCCTCCACCTGCAGTGCTGGTTAGTGTTCCTGCTGCTCCTCTTCCCATCCAGCTCCCTGGTGGTGGCCGACAAAGCAGTAGAAAATGGTCCAGGGGTTGGGGTCCCCTGCACCCATGCCGGAGACCCAGAAGTTCCTGATTCCTGGCTTCAGATCAGACCAGCTCTGGCTGTTGCAGCCATTTGGGGAGTGAACCACCAAATGGAAGACCTCTCTCTCTGTCTCTACCTCTCTCTGTCCGTAACTGCCTCTCAAATAAATAAACAAATCTTTAAAAAAAAAATGTGTTGGATCTCTAGCATTCCCCACAGATAACCAATAAGTTTTTCTGTTTCTTGGTATCATTTATGAATTTATGGATTTAAGCATATTTGATATATTTTCTGTTGCTATTTTACTTTACTGGGCTCTAATTAACAAATGACAAGTTTCTTAAAGAAGAATCTAAGAATAATGTCATTCAAGGTAACAGATATACTCACTAGTTAATTGAATGACTAAGATATGTGAACACTGGAGAGGGATATATGGGTTGCTTTCTGTTTAAATGATTTGACTTGTACAAAGAAAGTACACATATTTACTAAATAGTTCTACAGTATGATTTTTCTAACAGAAAAGAAAGTAAAACTCTGAAGGTACAGCTCTTGTTCTAGAGAAGCCAAAAACATAGTTATAGAGACTACATTAAACCAGTAAAATTAAGAAGACAGCATTCAACACACAGCATTCAGTCAGAAGAAAAGTCATGAGAGAGAGGACTTAACAGAGAAAAAGTTTAGGAATGCATTATGGAATGTATTATGTATGTATAAATGTATTATGGAAAAAGAAAATACAACACAAGGCAGAGTGCAGATGAGTGTGGCATATTCACAAGACAACAAGCAGACTTCTGGGGCCAGCATTGTGGCGCAATGGGTTAAGCCACCACCTACTACGCCAGAATCCTGTATGAGCACTTGGCTGCTCCACTTCCAATCCAGCTCCCTGCTAATGCACCTGGGAAAGCAGCAGAAGATGGTCCAAGTACTTGGACCCTTGCCACCCACATGGGAGATCTGGGTGAAGCTTCTGGCTCTTGGCTTCAGCCTGGGCCAGCCCTGGCCGCTTCAGCCATTTGGGGAGTGAACCAAAAGACAGAACCTCTCTTTCTATCTCTGCTTCTATCTGTCCCTCTCTCTGTGTAATTCTACCTTTAAAATAAATAAATAAATCTTTTTTAAAAATGAGGTGAAGCAATTTTTAACCACTCACACTAGAGTCAGAAGATATATACTCTATTCTTGGCTTTGTCACAGATTGTTGTATAATCTGTTCACTTAACTTCTCTGAGTTTCCACCAGTGGGGTGGAGGGGAGGTTGTTGCCATTGTGGTGTAGCAAGTTAAGATGCCGCCTGCAGAGCCAATGCTGAGGCATAGCAGGTAAAGCCACCACCTTTGTTGCTGGCATCCCATATGGGTACTGGTTGAGTCTTGGCTGCTCCACTTCTGATCCAGCTCCTTGCTGATGAATCTGGGAAAGCAGTGGAAGATGGCCCAAGTCCTTGGGACCCTGCACTCATGTGGGAGATCCAAAAGAAGCTCCTGGCTTCTAGCTTCAGATTGGCCCAACTTCACTGCAACCATCAGCAGATGGAAGATCTCTCTCTCTCTCTCCCTCCCTCCTTCCCTCTGCTTCTCCCTCTCTATCTCTAACTCTGCCTTTCAAATAAATAAATAAATCTTCAGAAAAAAAAAAAAAAGACGCCACCTGCAGTGTCATCATCCCATATGGGATGTCCCATATGGATCCCGGCTGCTCCACTTCCGATCCAGCTCCCTGCTACTGGCCTGGGAAAAGCAGCAGAGGATGGTTCAAGTGCTTGGGCCCCTGCCACCCACATGGGAGATCTCGAGAAACCTCCTGGCTCCTGGCTTCGGTCTGGTCCAGCCCTGGCCATTGAGGACATCTGGAGACTAAATCAGCAGATAGGAGATCTCTGTCTCTCCCTCTCTGTAACTCTTTCAGAAAAAAATTAAAATAAAACTTTAAAAAAACAATTAGGAAGAAAAACAAGATTATTTATAATAGCTATTCCACTGTAAAATTCCAATTCTAAGCACCTAATATCTCCTTTATTTTTAAAAAAGTTTTATTTCAAAAGTGCAGTATAGGGGCTAGTCCTGTGGCATAGTGGGTAAAGCCACTACCTGCAGTGCCGACATCCCATATGAGCACCAGTTTGAGTCCTGGCTACTCCACTTCTGATCCAGCTCCCTGCTAATGCACCTGGGAAGGCAGTGGAAGATGGCCCAAGTCCTTGGGCCCCTGCACCCACATGAAGGACCCAGAAGAACCTCCTGGCTCCTGGCTTCAGATAAGTGCAGCTCCAGCCATTGTGGCCATCTGGGGAGTGAACCAGCACATGGAAGACCTCTTTCTTTCTCTCTCTGCCTCTGCCTCTCTGTAACTCTGCCTTTCAAATATAAATAAATGTTTTTAAAAAGTACAGTATACCAGAAAATACTCCAAACAAATAACAAAAAACATTATCACCTTTAGATAAGTAATCTTACCTTCATTTGCTATCTGTTCCGTATTGCTTTCTGGGTTTTTTTCCTACAAGGGAAAAAAAAAAAAAAAGAAAACCACAACACCTTCTTTCAGCACAATACATTTCTAAAGAGTAGTATTATAAATCAGTTATATAGTCAGAGCATTTTAACCTCTCTCCCTTGAATACAAATGATAAAATTAGAGTCTTAATCAGAGAGCAAAAAGTTGTTACATTAAAATAAATCTCATAACTATATAAAGGGATTCAGCCCAATAAAGAGAGGGATGGATTATACATAGAAAATATATTCAGGTTTCCACAGCTTCTCAAATATCTAATCCATAACTGAATTCCTTTTTAAATATTTATTCCTTTTAAAAAATTTATTTGCAAGGCAGAGCAAGAGAGAAAGAGAAACAACAAAAGAGGAAGTCAGAGAGAGGAAGGAAGGGAGAGGGACAGGGAAACAGAGAGGGAAATCTTCCATCTACTGGTTCACTCCCCAAATGCCTGCAACACCCACAGCGATGCCAAGCTGAAGCCAGGAGCCGGGAGCTCCACCCAGGTCTTCCACATGGGTGTCAGGGACTCACTACTTGAATCATCATCTATTGCCTCCCAGGCACATTGGCAGAAAGCTATACTGGAAGCAGAGACAGAGGCAGGAATTGATGTGGGCCTCTTAACCTGTCGTACCACAATATCTATCCGATAACTGAATTCTTTTTTAAAAAATTATTTATTTAAGAGGCAGAGCAACAAGAGAAAGGGAGAGACAGAGAGAGAAATCTTCTATCTACTGCTTTACTCCCCAAATGCTGCAACAGCCAGGTCTGGGCCAGGGTAAAGCCAGGAGACAGGAATTCCACCCTGGTTTCCCATGCAGGTGGCAGAAGCCCAAATGCCTGAGCCATCTTCCATTGCCTTCCCAGGAGTATCAACAGGAAGCTAGATTGGAAGTAGAGTAGCCAGGACTCAAACCAGCACTCCAATATGAGATGCCAGAGGCACTGCAAGTGGCAGCTTAACTAACTGTGCCACAACACTAGCCCATAACTGAATTCTTTTTTTTTTTTAAGGTTTATTCATTTACTTAAAAAGCACAGTTACAGTGGGGAAAGGGGAAGCAGAACACACAGAGATCTTCCATCCACTGGTTCATTCCTCAAATGGCCACAACAGCCAGAGCTGGGCCAATCCAAAACCAGGAGCCAAGAGTTTCAACCAGGTCTCCCTTGGGGTGGCAGGGGCCCAAACACTTGGGTCACCTTCTGCTGCTTTACCTAGGCTTTCAGCAGGGAGCTGAATCGGAAGTGGAGTAGCTGGGATACAAAACAGCACCCACATGGGATGCTGGTTTCACAGGCAGTAGCTTTACCTGCTACACCACAACACCTGCCGCTATGATTGAATTCTTAATCTCAACTAGCAGACACTGCTGCCACTGGTTGAGTGACTTCTGCAATTCTGGAAAGTGTAGAAGCACATAAATTGATAAATTATTTAATCATATTTTTCTGTTTATCCAAAGGCACAGAGTAGTACTGGTTTAATGGCAAACAAACAGATCAACTGAACAGACTAGATTCTGAAAAACCTACATATATGGTCAAGAGATTTTCAAAAGTGTCAAGATAATTCAGTGGAGAAAGGTATGTGCTAGAACATATCCACACACCAAAAAATGAAAAGCAATACTTATCTCAGAAGTAATACCCCAAAAGTACCTCAAAATCTAAATGTAAAGCCTAAAACTATAAAAATTTCCAGAAGAGAAATATATACATTATAACCTTGTGTTGGGGAATGATTTCCTGGCTGTAACACAAAAAGTATGAAATATAAAAGAAAAAACTGATAAACTGGACTTTATCAAAACTAACAACTGGGGCCAGCATTGCAGTACAGCAGGTTAAAATGCTGCCTGGATCACTAGCATTCCGTATCAGAGCCCTGGTTCAAGTACCAGCTGTTCCACTTCCAATCCAGGTCCTTGCTAATGTGTCTGGGAAAGCAGCAGAAGATAGCCCAAATACTTGTACCCCTTGCCACCTACATGGAAGACCCAGATGGAGTTCTAGGCTCCTTGCTTTGGTCTAGCCTAGCCCTGGCTGTTACAGTCATTTGGGGAGTGAACTAGCAGATGGATGATTGATCTCTTTCTCTCTCTTTCTTTCTCTCCTTCTCCCTCTTTCTCTCTGCCTTTCAAACAAATAAATAAAGCTTTAAAAAAAAAAACTAAAAACACTTAATGATAACTTAGTGACATCATTAAGAAAAAAAGATCAGTCACAGAATGAGAAAACATCTGATAAAGGATCCTGAATATAAACAACTCAAACTCTCACAACCTGATCTAAAAAAGACAATCCAATAAAATCGTAATTGGCAAAAGATTTTGACAATCAATTCACTAAAGATAAAAACTGAATTAAAAGAACCGTTCACTATGATCAAATGTGATTTATCCCTAGGATGCAAGAATGGCTCATTATGACCAAATCTGTAAATATAATATATACCACATTAACAAAGTGAAATATAAAAACCTAGATGATCATCTCAGTAGGTGCAGAAAAAGCATCTAATAAAATTCTAGATCCTTTCATGATTAAAAAAACCTCTCAACAGGTTAAATATAGAAGGAATGTACTCAATAGCACAGGCAACAAAAGCAAAAATAGATAAATGGGATTGCATCAAAATAAAAAGCTTACTAATGCACCTGGGAGAGCAGCAGAAGATGGCCCAAGAGGCCCTGCCACTCACGTGCAAGTTCTAGGCTCCTGGCTTCTGCTGGGGCTAGGCCACTGTGGCAATTTGGGAAATGAACCAATGGATGGAAGATCTCCCTCTCTTCCTCTCTCCCTCCCTCCCTCTCCCTCTTAAACTCTGCCTTTCAAATAAATGAAATAAATTAAAAAGGCAGGGGGGGGAGTTTCTGCACTGCAAAGGAAACAACTCAGAGAGTGGGAGAATCTGATAAAGGGTTCCTATCCAAAATATATAAGGAATTCAACTCGACAGCAAGAAAACAACTCAATTAAATATTATGAGCAGGAGCTGGTTTTTGGCATAGCAGTTAGGACACCACTTGGAATACCCACATCTTATATCAGAGTGCCTGGGTTCAAGTTCCAGCTGTGCTCCCAATTCCAGCTTTATGCTAAGGCACACCCTAGGAGGCAGCAGGTGATGGCCCAAGTACTCAGGTACCTGCCACCCACATGGGAGAATGAGATTCAGTGCCCCACTCCTGACTTTGGCCTGGCCCGGTCTCAGCTTTTGCAGGCACTTGGGAAGCTGTTGCAGGCACTTATGGATTGAACCAGCAGATGAGAGTTCTCTCTCTGCCTCTCAAATAAAATTAATTTAAAATAAAACTGTAAAGAATCTAAACAGACATTTCTTAAAAGACATACAAATAGCCAACAGGTTTATGAAAAAATGTTCAATATCACTAATCATCAAGGAAACACAAATTAAAATCACAATGAGATACTCCCTCACAAATGGCTAAAATTATAGACTTCGGCAGGAGGATACTTATTTATTTGTTCACATACCATATTGGAATACTTGGCTCCAGCTCCTGATTCCAGCTGGTTGCTTATACAGACCCTGGAAGATAGTAGTGATGGCTCAAGTGATTGGGTTCCTGCCACATACATATGAGAGACCCAGATTGAGTTCCTGACTCTCACCCGGCCCAGACCCAGACACTGCAGGCATTTGGGGAGTAAACCAGAAGATGAGATCTCTCACTCCCCCTGCCTCTCAAATAACATTTTTTAAAAAATTTTAAAGTCACCTTTGACCACCCTCCCCCTTTCTCCAATATCTTATCAGTTACCAAGTGAGCTGATTCTTCAAGATCAGAAAGCTGGTAATAAAAGAAAAATGATTTAAACCAAGGTTTCTTAGATGCCAAAAGACAATACACTGCTTACGCTTTGAAAAGGAGAAATAAGAACATAGCATAACATCCCATATACCCTGGACAGGATAGATTCGTGAGGACAGGAGAATACAAAAGTTATGGTCTCAGAGATGTAATAATGGTGGTGTTGGCAGTGATGATAACAATACATAATAAAGGTTGCCACTTACTGAGTTCTTACTAGATGTCTGATACCCTACTAGGCCTTTATATACAATTTTTTCTTATCTAAAGCCTATTACAAGCCTATAGGGGAGATACTTATTATTGTCCATTAACATCCATTTTAAAGTTAAGGATATTGAACCTCAAAGACCCTCCCCAAGAACATCAACTAGATTTGAACCTAAGTCCATGAAATGCTGAACCATTCATTAAAATTGCTGTGTGTTTAACTGCATACATGCCTTATAGTCTCCCCTGCCAGGAAATAAGTTTCTGGGGGTAGTATCATGTCAGGTTCATCTTCGTATCCTCCAGAATAGCTAGCACAGTATCTATTACATAGGAGAGCCCCAAAAATGTTTGCTAAACAAGTAAATAAAATTCACTGTACTACATGTTACTTGTATCTAAATCACACAGAGCCAGAATATTTTCTTTTGGCTGTAATTATTGTTCTTCTCTTTCTACAATATCTAGATCTTCTATCTTAATTTACATGCAAGTCTAAATCAATGGGCCAAGAAGAGATCTGAGACACCAATATCTTCTTCCTTCCCAACTGCTGATTGACATTTATCTTTTTTTACTCTGAATTTGATCGCTTTCTAGGATGTCTGATGTCTCAAAAAGACAGGCCCCAGTATAAGTGTAACTATTATAGATAGGAGATGAAGTAGGAATATTTGCTGTACCAGAATTCAGTTTTTATAAATTCCAATTACACAGCCAATAGAATATATGCTTTAAACCAATATTCACCCAAAAAGGGTGGGGGGAGACACACAATTCTTATTCACAAATTCATCTAATTTCAAAAATGTTTCATCATATCCCCTTGAGTATATCAATAGTTTAAGAAGTTCCAAAGCTGAGAGGTTCACAAATAACTTATGCTGGTGTTTTAAAGAAAATGTTGGAATAAGTGATGGAAGTCACACACATAATTCACCAGAGATTAATTAAATAGCACAAGGAGAAAGAGTTTTCTCTTTCTTTTTGGTTTCTTACTATAAAGAAATTTTTCAGACAAACAAATATAAGTCCTCTATTGTCCAATCAATATGCAAGCAGGAAGATCTGAGTTAACTTTGCAAAACGCCACCTTTAAATTTTTTCCTTTGACTTAAAAATAGTTTGTTACTTTGTTTAGAGTACTTTAAACTTGTACCTAAGGGGCCAGCACTATGATGTAGCAGTCTGAGTACTAGCTACTCCACTTCCAATCCAGCTCCCAGCTAATGTGCCTGGGAAAGCAGTGGAGGATGGCCCAAGTCTTTGGACCCCTGCACCCAGATGGGAGACCTGGTAGAAGCTCCTGGCTTCAGCATGGCCTGGCACAGGCTGTTGTAGCCATTTGGGGAGTGAACCAGGGGATGGAAGACCTCCCTTCCCTCCATCCATCCATCCCTCCCTCCCTCTCTCTCTCTCTCCCTCCCTCCCTCTCTCTCTCTCTCCCTCCCTCCCTCTCTCTCTCCCTCCCTCCCTCTCTCTCTCTCCCTCCCTCCCTCCCTCTCTCCTTCCCTCCCTCTCTCCCTCTCCCTCTCTCTTTCTCTGTAACTCTGCCTTGCAAATAAATAAAATAAATCTTAAAAAATAAAACTTGTACCTAAATGCAAAAACACATTTATATAAATCAAATACACTGCAGTTATATGTTTTTCTCTGACAAACAGAAGCTCTTTCTTTTAACTACAATTTTGCTTTTGATGTTTATTATCCTAATACAGGACAGAAAAAAGTACATATGCCTCCATTGTATAGCTACACATAACTTGCTGAACTGGATATGATTCATCACTTCAAGATTTCTCAAGTCTCAAGGCTGGTGCTGTGGCATAGTAAGTTAAGCCTCGGCCTGAATCACAGACATCCCATATGAATGCTAGTTCGACTCCCAGCTGCTCCACTTCTGATCCAGCTCTCTGCTAATGGCCTAGGAAAGCAGTAGAGGATGGCCCAAGTGCTTGGGCCCCTGCATCCACGTGGGTGACCCAGAAGAAGTTCCTGGCTTCATAGGCCCAGCTCCGGCCGTTGTAGTCATTTGGGGAGTGAACTAGCAGATGTCTGTAACTCTGCCTCTCACATAAATGAATAAATCTTTAAAAAATTTTCACAAGTCTCTACTCAATTCACACAATAATCAGTTTGATTTTCTGAAGTAGCTATAAAAATAATCAGAAAAAAAATAACCTCTAATGTTGGAATTACATTTAAAAATAGAATTCCAGAGCATGTGTTTGGCCTGGGGGTTAAGATGCCAGTTAGGATGCCCTCATTCCATATCAGAGTGCCTGGTTTTGATTCCTAGCTTTGCTCCCAATTCCAGCTTCCTGCTACTTTGCATTTTAGGAGGCAGTAGGCAATGGCTCAAGTACTTAGGTCCCTTCCAGTCCTGTGGGATACCCTGGATTATCTCAATCCAGGTTCCTGGCTTTGGCCTGGCCCAGCCCTGGCTTTTGCAGACATTTGGGGAACTAAAACAATAGAGGGAAGACCCCTTCCTGTGGCTCTGGAATAAGTAAAATTAAAAAACAATTTTAAAAATAAAAATAATAGGGGCCAACATTGTGGCACAAAAGGATTCAAGCTACTGCTTGCAGCACTAGCATTCCATATCAGAGTGCCAGTTTGAGTCCTGGCTGCTCTGCTTCTGATCCAGCCTCCTGCTAATGCACCTGGGAAAGCAGTAGATGATGTCAGGTCCTGATCACCCTCATGGGAAACCCAGATGGAGTTCCTGGCTCCTGGCTCCTAAGGAATTAATCAGCAGATGGAAGATTCTCTGTCATTTTGCTTTTCCAATAAATAAATCTTTATAAAAATTTAAAAATAAAAATAAGATTCCATCTCTGAATTGTAACTAGTAAATATTAACAAAAAATATTTTGGTAGCAAGGATATATCAAATCAAGCCTTCTGGAGAAAACTAAGGTGTCTAGAACTTTAGTTTAAATCTACCTCAACAGATTAGAAATTAATCTTTTTCTATGCCAAGATAAATGCAATAAGATTTAACTATTTTCAAGGATTTTTAAGTTATCTATAAAAATTATAACCTACAAGTTAAAATAATCACTTGCAATTTTAAAATGATTTATGTGAAAGCTATGTATTAAGAAGTATGTCAGGAAACAGATAAATAAAAGACAAGTCAAGGGTTGCCAAAATCCCAGTTTATAGTTGTAAATTCCTAAGGTTTTAAAGCACAGCCACAAGCTAATTGCCAAGAGACCTGCTGCCCATAGACATTTGTGGAGGACTGGAGTTAATGGCAGGGCATGTCAATTTACTACAGGCAGCTCATGGCCAGACAATTTGACAAAAGAACTGGATCAAGTTACAGCCTGTTCCTATTATCACCACAGTCTAGATTTATGGTTTCTAACACCAGTCCTACAAGAAATAATGGAAATGATGACAACAACAATCCCCTCTAGACAACAGACTGCAGAAAAGCATGCAATAAACCACAATCTAAAGTGACCAGAAAACTAAACATCCCTGACAATACTTCAAACATGAGGCAGGTGTCAGCAAATTACTCATTTAAATATTTCTACAACTTCTCAAAATCTCAACACCAAAACAAACCTCAATTTAGAGTTCCTAAGGTAATCTAAAGCTAAGCAATATATACATGCACTTATTATTACTAACATCTTAATTATTTTAATGACCAAAAAGCATGATTTCATTTGAACAGATTTATGAAACTCTACAAAATTGTTGAAAATTAAATAATACTGATTATATTACTCTTCAAATAACTTCAAAATATTACTTTTTACATTTTTTCAAAAGAAAAAATGGACAACAGTTTCACAGCAAAGGGCACCTGTTTTTAACTGTATTCAGGAAGGCAAATGAACAGAAGAAACACGCTTGATTTAATGTTTAATTTCAAAATAAATAAATAATCAAAATCTTAAAGCAGCTACAACAAATGAAAGGTGGGAAAAGCGACCAAACGTTAACAGAAAACAAAGATTTTGTCAAGATATCTGATTTCAGAACTACAAGGTACATACCAAATAAATGGTAACTGTTTATGTCTGAAATTCAGCACTGGTTAATCCTTACTGAGAAAGAGGCTGAGAAAAATCAAATGTGTATCCTAAAGACAAGAAGCAAAGAGAGACTCACCAACTTTTCCCTGAGAAAACAAATCTGTCCCTTCTAAAGTTTACAATGGCATGTTACCACAAAAGGTGGGCACTCTCTTTCCGCTCTACAACAATTTGCTCCTATAAACTTAGGAAGGGGCAGAGCCACAGCCATAAACACAGGTCACAAGTTGTAGATAGTCAAATGCTCTCTATCTCCAAATGTTTCCTATTTCTTTACTAATACAAAGACTCAACAAGCTTATTCTGGTTTGCTTGTTTGTTTTTAACTCTTTAAATAAAGAATTCAAGTAGCTTAGGTAATACGATCATGAAATTAAAATGAACAGCATCATCACATATGTGCTGTTGGAACCTCAAATCTTTTACTTTTCACATAATAAGATATTCCATTCATTATGTTAAACCTTTCTATCACAGGGTCAAAAAGTCAAAGAGAAAGGTTTAGGGACTTAACATTAGTTAGTATAAAAAACATGGTTGTCAAGTTTGTATTAGACACATTAAGACGAAGTAAGCAAAAAGCCTTACTCATGAAAACCAAAACAAAAGTTCATTTCAAATCTTAAATGGTTTCTGAAATTTTCTCAAGTTATCCCGCTTTAAGAACTATGCCCTTTGCTATTAAATCAGATGTTACCACTACAGTAAAAGGTATTTCATATGGTTTGAATAACCAAAGCCCAAGCTAGTTAGAGACTATAAAATAGACATACCACTAAATTATACCAATATTTATACTATGGTATAAATTAATTCAACCTATGATAAACACAGCACTTTCTTTCATCTATTCATATTTCCCCATGTCAAAGGGATCATGAATATTAAGGCTCCAACCCAGGGAAAGGTAAACTCTATCTTAAAATCATCAATATTTGCAATTTTCCAAGTGTATAGGTTTTCAGTTCTTGAAAGCAACAACCACTTCAAATTCCAAGATATTATGTATCTCAAGCATTAATCATGGGTTCTAAAATTCTTAGGGGTGCCTGATTTGCACATTCTAAACCACAAAACGTCTCCCGACAACATCAGACCAATCTTCACACCACAACTTATAGCTCTAATGCTGATAGCAGGCACAGCTCACTTTGTTATGCTCTGGTATATCATTAAAACCAGGAATATGACTGTAAGGAGACAATGAGAGTACCAGGGAAGGGAGCTAAGAGAAAAGGTGACCTTAGGTTTCTTTCACAACTGGAATGAGAACAGAACCGGCATAAAGGAGAAAACAGCAGACAAGGTAACCTGGCATTGGAGGTGACTAATAACTCAAAACAGCACAAGATCCCTTGCATCCACCAGTGTTCTGGTTTCTAAAGTTGCAACAGTCATTTCTATTAACCCAAACAGAGAGGCAGTATATATTCAAGTGAAAGAGCACTAACTAAATTGGATCTACCTTAAGTGCACATAATTTTCCTTAAGTCACATAATTTTCATCTTAAAAACTTGGTATTTACTCAGCCTTTTCAAGGCACTTTACTATCATCAATAATTTCTCAGCAAGACAGCAAAGGATTACCCTGACCACTTCACTGATGCGGAAACAGACACTAACAGTAAAGAGAACAGGCAGGAAGAGGGGCTATAGGAAGCATCTGGAAGGAACAGGCAGGCAGCTAAAAAGGAACAAACCCAAAAGAAAATGAGAGTCACATCTGGCTCATAGCTAATCATCATAATCCTTATTATTTTTGAGTTCAAAGAGATTTCTGAAATAGTTTGAAAAAAGAAAATGCTTTAAAATAACTAAAATCTAAGTACAGCCTAAACTACTTGGTCACAGAAGTGAATTTGCTTAGCATTAAAAAATCTCCAGAGCATACAGTGATTTCAATTTATATCAGTAAATATTATACCCTCAAACCTAACCAGAGCATTATTTATCTGACCAGGAGAATCATTTCTCATAAAAATGTACAGCTTTATATAATCATAACAAAAAAGTCACAAAGTTAGTATCACATAAGTCAGAAATAATTCAGCTATACCAAGAATTTTGTTTAGAGAATTAGGACAAAAATACTGATTCCTTGGATCTGTACTTTAAATAAAAGGAATATTTCTACTGCATTCATATTGATCTTCTTAGCCATAACCTTGACATTTTCAGGAATAAACTACTAGTTGGAAGCCTTAACTACTCAGAAAGTAGCATACACAGCAGGCTCTGAATAAATGTACATTCAGTTGAACTCCATATTAAAGACAGCACCAGTGCTTAATAAAGGTGTTTGAATCATAAATCAAAGACTGACCAAATGCTTCATGAGAAAAACTGATAGCGCCTCTTCAAGACTGACTCCGATGTTCTTCGTACGTACAGTGGCATCACTAACTTTTACAAATCCTCATACATAATGCAGTAGTCACATTAACCTTTTTTTCCCCCAAACTATCAATTTCAAATCAGGTTCTCTAAACAGGTACACACTTTTAAGAAGTTTATAAAGTAGTATAAATATATGAAGTTTATTCAAAAATTTCAAAGTCATTTTAAATGGCGCTTGACTAGGTTTTCTTTAAAATTAGGTTATAGATAAAACTAGATCAGAATAAATAACAAGGCATCAGGCAAACGCTCATAAAGTCCATTCTCAAAATCTCAATTAGACTAATTCCAAAGGTTTATTTTCACACTCTTCCCACAAAACCACAAACAGCCTGGAAAACATTCACTATTACTTATTGAATAATTAAGAAAAAGAGTGGCAAGGAAAACAAAATTGTCATCGTTGTAACACATTCCCAAGCAATTACTGAAAAGAATTAAATAGGTATCTATGAAGTACTTTTACAACACAATTGCTCAGCATAGGAAGGTGTACTCCATAAATGCTGTACATCTTCTAATACTTTTCCCTCAAAACAGAAATGAGAACAGCTCTGGAAGCATTAAAAATACAGCAGCATCTCCAACAATTTTCTAACTCACACGCTCATAAGCAAGTTATTTAACGTCCCCTGCCTCAGTTTCCTCCTACAAACCATTCACATTTTAGAGACACACTACAGGTAAATCATAAGCGCTAATCTTCTAATTCTTCCAAGCACAGGCAAATTTTATATTGTAATCACACTTGGTGATGTATTACAAATATTTAACAACCTTTTTTTTTTTTTTTAAATCAACAGTCTTAAGCGGGAACCTGTAAGTATCTGTGCCGCCCAAACATCTGGGGGAAGGGGGCGGAGCCGAATTACAGTTCAGCCCTTAAAGCTATGTATAACTTCGAGGCGCAAAATCGATCATATTCGCCTAGACCTGTTCTGCCTCTGGCTCTTCTCACTGGGGCGGCGCACAAGTACCCTCCAGGTGGAAAAAAGAGAGGAGGGTACAAAAACCATTTCGGAGTGCTTCTAACCGAAGGCAGCAGAGTTCCCTAGACTCAAGTCACGACTGCAACGGCGATCGCGCTCCTCGCCTCCCTGCCCGCCCCGAACCGGCCAAGTCCCCGCGTCCGCTTCACCCGAGGGTGAGCCACCGGCGACCCCTGCCCTCACCAGAAACCTCGCGGCGTAGACTTGGCCACAGGACCCGAGCCCGCGCCTCGCCACGCACGCATCCTTCGGGGCTGATGGTCCCTTCCTAAACTCCAAAAGTTACTTCCCAAGTCCCCGAAAGGAACCCGGTCCGTCTCAGCCCAGACCACGAAAAATCATCCCTGCTCCTCAACCCCGAAGTCCATTTCTCAATGCCCCGAGCCCGACCTCACCCACCGCGACGCGGCTGAACCGGAGGGCGCTGTCCGCGCTGCCGGAGAGCGACGGTTGGAAGGCGCAGCCAGGCGCGCGGGTGACAAGGACCTGCGGCCGGGCGAAGGGGCCCCGGGGGAGTCAGAGGGACGGGATGAAAACAGTTAAGGGGCGTCAGCGGAGGCCGCTAAGTGAGGGAGGAGAGCTGTGGCCCCGGGGATGGACGACCGGGGTGCGGGGCCAAACTGAGCCGAAAAGCGAGTAGGGCAGTGAGGGGGCGTTCCTCGAATGGGACACGCTGCCGAGGGTTCCGCGCCGCCCGCCCGCCCAAGGACAACGGTCAGGGCTCAGACGCCACACCTTCGCCTCTCCGTTCTTCACAGGGCCCAGAGTCACCACGCACCTTGGTTCTTGTCGGCGACAGCAACAAAATTGTCACATTTGTCCGCGAGCCGGCAACGAGCTTCACACCGCCGCCGCCATTTTTGAGAAGCCGCGCGCGGAGACGCGCATGCCCCGCAACCGCCACCGCGGCCCCGCCCCCTCCGCGGCCAGTCCGCGTGCCCTTCGGTTGCCACGAGCACGCCCTACGACCGCTGCCGCGTGCGGGCCCAAATCCGGGGACCCTGCTGCCAGCCTGCGCGAGCGCGGCTGCGAGACGCTGCAAACCCGGGAAAAACCGTTGGCAGTTTTCCCTCATCCCCCCCCCAGCCAAAAAAGGCCAATCCCCGCCCGTGGCCCCCAGGCCCTCATGACTCCCTAAATGGGACCCCAGGGTTCGCGTGAAGTTTCATACCGGGAACTCGCTCCCCTTCGTCATGGCCTTTGATTCCTGGCCACCACCCACCCTGGCCACGAACCCAAAAAAGCAGGCACTTCTCTAGGAATTCAAGCAAGTTCGAGGAGCAGGGAAAAGGCAGCACGTTCAAAGCCACTCCTTCGCTGGCTGCAGCGTATTCCTTGAAACTGCTTCCCCTCACCCCCCACCGCGCTCCCAGCCTGGGGTTTTGCCACGCATTCCCCTCCCAGCTCCATGTTCTAGATTCAGCTGTTCCTCTAAATCCAGGTTTGCGCTAACGGAAGCTAGATTAACCCGGAGGATGAAATCATTTGCTCACCGACTTGAGGGTGCTCAGGATCATCCCTGAGAGTGCTTTTTTGGGATCCTCTCAGCCTGATCCCTCTCTCCCTGGGCGTGTTCCGCAGAGCAGGTGAGGTTGCTGCTGTAGGAAGGGATCATAAAAATAGCCTTAAAATGAACCACGAACCTCTCAGCACAAAATGCAGCAAAACAGAAAGCAGGAGAAATGAACAGGTCCTGTCTTGTGAAGCTGGGTATAAGTGGAGTTCAAACTTTTGTTGCTTTTGTTTAAAAAATGATACAATATGTTATGTTAGCAAGTAAACTATTGGCAGACCTTCTTCCCTCACCACAGTTCTTTCCAAAGCTGAGTGTAGGTTTTGCAGCTGTGATATCCGTGACCGCCTTAACTTACTGTACCGAATATGGTATACTTTTGAAATCATAATTCAGAAATGAAGAACCTGGGGCCAGCTTTGCACCGTAGTGGGCTAAGGCACGGCATCTGGTTGGATTCCCGGCTGCTCCACTTCCAATCCAACTCTCTGCTAATGCACCTGGGAAAGCAGTAGAAGATGGCCCAAGTCCTTGGGCCTCTGCACCCATGTGGGAGACCCAGAAGAAGCTCCTGGCTCCTGGCTTCCGATCAGCGCAGCTCTGGGCGTTGCAGCCAACTGGGGAGTGAACCAGCAGATGGAGGACCTCTCTCTCTGCCTCTGCCTCTGCCTCTGCCTCTACCTCTACCTCTGCCTCTCTGTAACTCTACCTTTCAAATAAATAAATAAATCTTTTTTTAAAAAGAAAAGGAAGAGAAATCAACAACGTAAAACTAAAAACAAAAAATATATCCATTTTCTATAATGCAGAATAAATTTTAATATTCAACTTTTACAGTATTAAAAACCAAAATAAAGTATTTTTATGATATTTAAGCATTGATGAATGGCATAAAATCAAATTAATTGTTCTTAAATCAGTTAAAAATAAAAAACATGATAATGCAAAATTCAAATAAACTATAAGGTGAAAGTAGAAATTCTAGGCCAATGATATGCAAATATTAAAGACAGATTTGGTCATATCAATTGTTCAATAGATATCACATAGGAGAGAATGCTCAAATGGTCTAATATGAAGGTTGAAAAATGTTTTTTAAGTTTGGAAATAAATCTTTAACAGGAAGAAATTTAACCCAAGAAAATCCTTAGTATGGGCAACAGCAGGGTTCAGGGCATGAGATTTAAAGTCTTAATTAGTGGCCATTACCTTTCTAATCATGATGCAATGGAAACATTTGAAATTCATCTCTATGTCCTGTATGTGAAAGATCTGGCTTATCATTTACACCTTTTTTACATGTATGGGCCTTTTATTAAATTGTAGGAACAAAAAAAAGTAAAAAAAAAAAAAACTAAATTGTAGGAACACTATTCTGATTTCTAAATTGCCTGTCTCACTGATGCCTCATCTGCTTCCCATATTCCTAAAATGAAATTACCCTAAAAATGTAATTTGCATGATCTATATTAAAACATCTCTATGATTATGTTCACCAAAGGATTTATAGACATGTAACTATGTTATGCTAAATATACTACCAATAATGATAATAACTACCATTTAGTGGGCACCTACTATGTCCTGACAACCATGCTAGTCTCTTCAGATTCAAATTTCCAATATTCACAATGTTCCTATGAGGCAGATACTCTTAGTCCCATTTTACAGATGAGAATAATGAATACTACATAGCAAATAATGGCATTTAGCTGCTGAATATGTTTGAATATTTCCTTTCACCCCATCATATCCTTTTCACTCCGTCATCAATCATATGCTTTTATCATATACTATGTATATAAACTCTCAATAATTATTTTATTTACCTATACCCTACTTTCCTCCTTTGCCAAAATAAATTTGAGACTGCTTTTCAATAATGTTAACATAGGTCAGAACATTGTAGGAATTTAGTAAATATTTGTTGAGTGAATGGATAAATGCATCTTGCTATCATGATATTCAATTAATTCTGCCTAGTAAACAATCAGATGCTTCTGAAATGAAAAAGTAAGAGCTAAGACTAGCAAAATCCAATTTTGCATGATTTCTTTTTCAAGCTTCAGATGCTCCTGTCAGTTTGCTACTGACTTGGTCCAAAACCCGTGACAACCTTAAAGAAGACACAACACCCCACCTAGTCCATGTCCAGTGCAACTTCCTCTTGTATCTCAAGTGTGTTTGAGACTTCCTTTTGTACATTTCTTTAGAGTTTAATATTAGCCAAATAGAATGAAAAAAAAAACCTTCTTTCCTAGATAAGAAAGTTTAATCTACATTTTTATCAATGCACATGCTTATATCAAAACAATATTATTTGCATAGATTTGACATCTTGGGATGATCAGCGAAGAGGCCCTCCAGTTTTCCCACTTCATGCACGTGTTTCTTCCTAAAACACAGAAGCCTGACTAAGCCTGGCAAAGACTGGAGATCCAAGGTATAACTCCTAAATTCTCCATTTATATTTTCACCATAGTGAAAAAAATCCATATAGTAGGTATTAAATAACTAGTAAACTAATTAAAATAGTAACTGAGTTTACAAACATTTTCTGATCCCTATTCTTAACAAATTGCCCATGTCTCCCCCCTTTAAACACATACCAATAGATATAATTTTGGTTCCTAACTTCAAAATAATAACTTCCATGAAAAAAAAATAGCAAATTCTTTCAGAGTTACTCATGTCATGTACTATCGTATAACCAGATGAATGAATTGTAGTTGACCAGCTAACAACTGGCCCTTTGGACATTTAATTAAAACAGGTTTGCTTTTACACTTTTTTTGCTGCTCATCTCCCAATTGGAGCCAGTTCCACCCCACCCCTACCCCCACTTCTTTCTAGAACCTTAGCTCCGCCAGTGACAGCGACTCTACAGTGACAGCGACTCTACAGTGACAGCTCCTGACAGGGGCTCCTCTTTCACAGCTTTGGTTCTCCCTGGGTCTTCGGGAAGGTGGAGGACTGGGGGAAGTGGGTACAGCTTCCAGCTTCCAGTGGTTACTAGTCCCTTGGCTCCTTCAGCATCCCGTGTCAGTTCTCTTAAACCTGCCCACACCCCTGTATATATTCCAGTAAATTCTCTTCAAAAGCACAAATGATTGTACCTTCTGTTCCTGCTGGGAACATTATTGCAACAGTTTTTTCTTGTTTCAAGCCAGCCAGCTGTGGGGTTGGGGAACGCAAAGACTTTTGTAAGCTCGTCAAGAATTTATAGACCTGGGGGGCTGTCAGTAAAGCTCAGGCATCCCATATGCGTACTGGTTCGAGTCCCAGCTGCTCCATTTCTGATCCAGCTCTCTGCTATGGCCTGGGAGAGCAGTGGAAGAGGGCCAAGTGCTTGGGCCCCTGCACCCATGTGGGAGACCTGGAGGAAGCTCCTGGCTCCTGGCTTTGGATCGGCACAGCTCTGGCCATTGCAGCCATCTGGTGAGTGAACCAGCAGATGGAAGACCTCTCTTTGTCTCTTCTTCTCACTATGACTCTACCTCTCAAATAAATTAAATATTAAAAAAAAAAAAGAACTTATAGACCTGGGGCTGGCATTGGGCCTAGTGATTAAGACTTGTAATTTGGCCTAGTGATTAAGGGACACCCACATCCCATATTGGAGTGCCTGGGTTTGAGTCCCAGTTTCCTTCCAATTCCAGCTTCCTGCTAATGTGCACCAAAGAAAGCAGCAGGTGATGGCTCAAGTACTTGGATCCCTGCCACACGTATGAGAGACCCAAACAGAGTTCCTGGCTCCTGGTTTCAGCCTGGCCCAGTCCTGACTATTGCCAGCAATTGAATTGTGAACCACCAAATGGGAGATTCGCCTCTATCTGTGTGTGTGTGTGTGTGTGTGTGTGTGTGTCTGCCTCTCAAATAGATAAAATAAAAATTTTAAAAAAGAACTTTTGACCAGAGGCCAGCATAAAACCACCTGCAATATGTGAAAAAGTCACTATTATGCTGTGGGCTAAGTGTGAGTAAGATTAACTTGAAGAACGTGTCTTATAGTGAAGGTTAAAGAAGATAATGTGTGAAAGTCACCTAAGTGATACCTGCTTGATACAATAAACACTATAAGATCCTTAACTTGGGGGCAGCACTGTAGTGTAGCGGGTTAAGCTGCCACCTGTGACGCAAGCATCCCATATGGGTGCTGGTTCCAGTCTCAGCTGCTCCACTTCCAATCAAGCTCTCTGCTATGGCCTGGGAAAGCAGTAGTAGATAGCCCAAATCCTTGGGCCCCTGCACCCATGTGGGAGACCCGGAAGAAGCTCCTGGCTCCTGGCTTCAGCCTGGCCCAGCCCTGGCCGTTGTAACCATTTGGGGAGTGAACCAGTGGATAGAAAATTGATCTCTCTCTCTATCTCTCCCTCTCTCTGTAACTGACCTTCAAATGAAAAAAATAAATCTTAAAAAAATAAAAC